AAAAAGTTATCAGTGATGGAATTCAAGCGTGTGTGCGATAGTGTGGTTCCTTTATATTTGGGTGGAAAACAACAAGTGGCTATGGTTAGAGCACTCTGGCATTTAAATAAGAATAAATCTTTTGTGCCTCATACCATCGCTCGTTACCGTGATACTGGTAGTGTAGCCCGACGTCAAGGAAGTGGGCGGAAGAAAACAGCAACATAAGCAGAAATGGTTCGAAAAGTAAAGAAGCGACTTGATCGAAACCCGCGTCGTAGTGACCGCAATATTTCATTCGGCAAATATTGAAAAATGAGCTTACACCGAGCCATTGGAATTTCAAAAAGTGCAAGAACTTACACCGCAAAAGAAAGAAAAGAGACTAAAAAGGGCAAAAATTTTGGCCGCAGACCTTGGACATTCAAACAGGACTCAGCACCAAGAATGTCCAAGGTCTGCGGCCAAAATTTTTGCCCTTTTTAGTCTCTTTTCTTTCTTTTGCGGTGTAAGTTCTTGCACTTTTTGAAATTCCAATGGCTCGGTGTAAGCTCATTTTTCAATATTTGCCGAATGAAATATTGCGGTCACTACATTTCTAGCGCACAATGGCCACCAAAATCTCCGGATACCAATCCGTTGGACTACTGTGTCTGGAGTATTTTGGAGAGCAAGGCACTAAAAAATATCAAAATGTCCATCACCTCAAGCAAGCGCTTCGCCAAAACACCGCATTCAGCAGCGTGTGACGGTTTCATTGGCTGTTTGAAGGCCATAATTCGTGCCAAAGGTAACCAATTCGAACAAATCTAAACATGTTCTAAAATTTGATGCTATTTCCGACATTTCAATAAAATTTAGGAAAAAATAAAAATTATGGCGTTTGACTTTGTTGCAGTTTTTTTTATCTCACCCTGTATTAACTACGTCACTCCGTTTGTAACATCTCGAAATACCCATGTCAGACCCAACAAAATATATATATATTCTTGATCAGCGTAAATTCTAAGTCGATTTAGTGATGTCCATCAGTCTGTCTGTTGTGATCACGAAAATTTTGAGGTAGAAGGGTAAAATTTCGATCATGTCGGTCCAGGTTTTCATATGGCTCCCATATAACGGCACCTCCAAATAATTAGGATTTTTATGATTTTAACGACTTTATGTCGTTAATGTTAATGGGTACTACAACCTATGACCAAAAATACGCCTTTGTATAGCCCCCATATAACGGTTTTCATTTAAACGGTATTTTTCGGCTAAATTTTCTTAACATTTTGCAAGTTCTTTCCAAATGGTGAAAGATATTAAAAGTTCGGCCCGGGCGAACTTAGCTACTTTTTTATTTATTTATTTATTTTTTTTTTTGGGGCTGAATATTAAAAGAGTGGAAGGGAGAAAAAATATCCTGATTTTGGAGTTCTTCTAAAAGTCACAATTATTGAGCAATCTACGCGGAACTTTGCATGGGGAAAGAGTTCAAGAAAGAGCATCGTATAATTTTTGAAATAGATCAAAAAAAAAAAAATCATTAAATAATTTGATGCTGATAGCCAAGACATAGCAAAATAGGTCAATTTCTATATAAAATAAATTGCTATTAGTTACCACGATTATAGCTCAAGAACGGCTGGACTGATTTTCGCTGAAAAGGATAAAACTAAAAAAATCGCATAAAAATATGCCAAAAAAAATATTTAACTTCCGCCTGTCTGTCCATTTTTTTTAACAAATAGCAGGTCATATTTATAGTCCAATTTAGATAACGTTTTACACAAATCATTTTTGACCCAACGAACAAAAAACCATTTATATCTGAAAAAATCAAAAAGGCTTTCGGAAACGATAATATTAAGTGGAACCAAGCTCAATGGAAAAAACATTATTTCTGGGATTAGTCTACGTTTAATATTAAAGGCTCAGATGTGAAAAATTTTACGGTGAGAAGACAAAAAAATGAAGGACTCAAGCCGCAGTGTTGCAAAGGTACAGTGAAGCATGAGAGAGGGTCAAAAATGGCGTGGCGCTGTTTTTCTTTCTATGGACTTGGGCCTATCCATAAAATAAAGGAAGTTGTGGATCGGTTTGTTTACAAAGATGTGTTGGACATCACATTGTTCCCTTACGCTGAGTAAAATATTCGTCTGATTTGGGTGTTTCAGCATGACAATGATCCCAAACTTGTATCAAAACTTGTCAAATATTGTTTGCGGGAGTCAAAAATTCATGTTTTGTTATGGCCGGCACAATCACCTGATCTAAACTCCTTAGAAACCCTTTGGAGTATCGTAGATAGGAAGATCAAGAGAGATTCGGAAATAAATAAACACAATATTTTCTAAAGAATTCGGGGTGCCTGGGAAAGCACACCCAAGGATCAAATTGAGCGTGTTATAGATTCAATGCCTCGTAGGTGTGCAGCTGCTATCAAAAGTAATGGTTATGCTATCGGCTACTAGCCAACATTTAATTATTTTAAAATAAAACAAGTAAGCAAAGGCTACAGCGGGGCCGACCGCTAGAGCGGGGCCGACCGTTGAATACCCTACAACACTATAATAAGTGATACAGTTTATATAGGCGAGATACTCGAATGAATTCCACAAGATATTGTGACAAATAATAAAAGAAAACCATCAGGTTTCGTTCTCTAATTTTCAAATAATAGCAACTTAAGCTAATTTGATCATTTCCAATTTATTGGTAGATGTCTTCCTAGAGCTGGAACCAATATTTCCCAAAGACCTATAATCTCTCAGAAGTGGCAAAAGATTAACATTTATTATTGGTTTTTGACTGAAACGCATCTATATGAGATACAGACATTTGACTATATTCTTCAACGAAATCAGCCTTAACGAAATAGTCAGAAGTGCGTCTTTCCTGTATTTGTGAATTCTCCAAAAAGTCACTGAAAGTTATTTTCGTATTTTGTCTACAAAAGTTGGCAAACTATTTCAAACATTGAATATTTTTGGATGGCCATCCAAAACTGCTTGGCTTTTGCAATGTCCGGTAACCCCCATTCAAATGTGGGTGAGGATCGGGCGATAATTACGACCTGCTGACAATTTTGCAGTTTTCTTAGTCCATTTCAACCCCTAAATATATGGCGATCATCTCCAAAAAGAGTAGGCTTTTATTCTGACCCTCATCTTATCTCCATGCAAAATTTCGTAAGGATCGGGCCATAAATACGATCTGTATATGATATCCTGATATCCTAACTACTTAGTTTTGTTAGCTGTAGAAATATTACCAAATGTTTAATTCAAAATAAAAATATGCCAAAAATATGACAAAATTGAAAAAATATGAGAAAATGTTACAAAATCAATATTTTCATATTTAGAGAGATGTTTTTATGCGATTTTTTTAGACGTTTTTTCTTTCCTGCCAAAAGGCCATTCTGAATTAATGAGAACTGTCGAAATCAGTTCAGCCGTTCTCGACATATAAGAGATCTTTCAAGCATATCTTCTTTGATAGACATATATATCGCACATATATTGCTATATATCCGTTTTGTTGGATGTTAACATCAATGTAAAGATCAGAAGTAACCTTGTCATGGCTTTGTGGTTTCGCCGGGATTTAAAATATTAGCGGTTTAATGAAAATTTTTGAATTTTTTCAACACAAAATATATGATCTATTTTACCCGCTAAATATTATTTGATGACCACCCGAATTGGTAGACTCCTTCCCTGCCCTAAACTCTAGCTACATGCGAAATTCCGCGTCGATTGGTCTATAATTGCGACCTGTATAGCTACTGCAAAATCCGACATTTTTTCAGTATTTGGTCCATTTCAACCCCTAAACATTTGGCGATCGTCTCCAAAAGAAATAGGCTTCTATTCTGACCCTAGTCCCACCTCCATTCTAAATTTCGTGAAGATCGGGCCATAATTGCGACCTGTAGAGTGATTACAAATTAACATGGACAGACGGACAGACGGACGGACGGACATACATAGCTAGATCGACTCAACGTGGCGAGATAGGAAGATGCATATATACTTTCCTATGTGGGAAATCAATATTTCGTGGTGTTACATAATTGTTGGCCCAATCAAACTTATAATACCCCCAACACATAGTGTTGTAGGATATAAAAATTGCATTAAAAGGTGCCAATAATGATGTTAATATAGATTTGTGACATTTTTTTATATTTTCATATTTTTTATCGCATGCGATTTTTTAAATTTATTGAAGTGTTTGTTTTGTAATATTTTTTCACCTTAAACACAGGTTGGGGATATTATGTACAGATTGCAATTATTGTCCGATCCTCACGAAAATGTTCACAAGGGTAGGGTTAGGCTCAGAAGGACTAGGCCTATTGTTTTCATAGATTTATTTATGTGTTTAAATGGACCAAAAACAGAAAAAATTTCCTGATCACACAATTGAAGCCAATCGACACGCTTAAGAAGAGAGTTAAGGACAGGGAAGAATTGTAGCATTTTGGATGACCACTGGATTATATTTAGATATAAAATGGACCACAACAACTAACAGCACGTCCAAAATGCTAAGGGTAATATCTGGGTAGTGCTCCGTGACATAATTTCAAAGCGAAATCTTCCAAAATGGTTATGGACATAAAGGGACTTCTAACATATTGTATTGTTGTAGGATATCACATGGTCGGCCCCGCACGACTATAGCTTTTGCTTACTTGGTACTAGAGCCTCCGTCAAATTAGTTGAAAATCGATTTACAGTTGGATATAGTTCCGAAATTGTTACTACTGATACGCATTCAAATAAGGTTCATAGTTGGTATGATCTACTTCACATAAATTCCCAATGAAAACTTTTTTGTGTTTCGGGAGCTCTACTAAATACGCATAGTGGTGTGGGGTATGATATAGTCGGCCCCGCCCGACTTTTGACCTTTCCTTACTAGTTTTTTGTGAGGATTGTTCTAGGTCTAGTCATTTCCATATAATACTAAAATTTCGGTTGCATTTTTTCCCATCCTCCAACTTCATTTACAAAATCAAACAAATATTTTTTGTTTTGGTAAAAATTATTTTTTTATTATTGTCCATTGTTAGGAAATTAAATTATTACAAAATTTATTGCATATTAACAAGGCGTGGTCCATATTAGTTATATAAAATAAAAAAAATCGTACAATTTTAGCGATAACACCCAGCATTATGTCTAAGATAACTCCACTCCACATGACGATCACTGTTACTTGGCACGTTATAAGAAACGAAAAAAAAGTCAGCTTAATTAAAAGTCTCACTAACTACCACCACCTAAAATGGCCGATATGCTGAAGCCTTGCTTTCTGCCATTGTTGCTGTTGTGGCTGGGATGATTTAGCTGGGCCCTGTTGCATGACGGTGATTGGGGTAATGCATCATTTGTCGGTGGACAACCATCGCTGCCGGCGGCGATGGTGGAGTCGGTGTTGTTGGCAGTAGCAACAGCGTCGAACGTTGTTGGCACCGGGATTGGTGTTGTTGCTGTTGGTAGCGTCACATCGTCTTGTATTAATGATGAATCGGATGAAGAAAGATCGGCATCGTTTGTAATGCAATCGGAGGTGGTATTCGAGTTAATGGCAGTAACACGATTTGGCAACAATTCTCCACTACCACCACCGTCACTGCCTCCAGCATTGAGAGACAAATGTTGGGGCAATGGCGGCAGAAGAAGTGGTGGTGGCACAGGTGCTGTTGGTGGCAATGTATGCTGGGCTGTCAAACCGGCCGCCACAAGAGCTTCATGCTGTTGTGTGGAAACATAGGCTGCATGTTGCGGCTGGGGATACATGGGCTGGGGACGAGCAAAATAGGTACATGCTAAATCGACCAGTGAAGGTCGCAACAACGTCTGCATATTTTGTTGGAAATGATGCATGAATGCAACGGATGTTGCATTACAACTTGTACCAACTCGGTCGCCGCCAACACCATTTTGGCCAGCAGCCAATGCAGCAACAGCTGCCGCAGCGGCTTGTTGTTGAAAAACATTGCCACTATTGTTAACATATTCCAGAGGCAATGGTGATGACATACTGTGGTTAGAACTGGTTTCCAAAGCTGATGGTGCAATGCAACCACCACCGACACCACCACCACCATCCAATGATCCATGCGCAGCATGCTCCAGTGCTGCAATGGCGGCTAAATCGTTTGAGCGTAATCGTTTAATTTGCGCTGATGTTCCAGCATCCATGTCCACAATGATATGATCATTAAAGAATGCCGTCGTCACTGGTTTATCCGAACAAATTGATGATCCCGACTCACTGATTGTTGCATTCGATGTCGCCGAAGAGAGGCAGGAGGAGGAGGAGGAGGAGGAGGCTATTGTTGTTGACGACGACGTTGGTGGAGACGACGATGATAATTTCGTTGGCGACATGATTTCATGCTGCTGCCGCAACAACTGCTCATCGGCAGTAGGTGATGAAGACATTTTACGCTTGCAACGCGATTGACCAGTCTCACGAAAGCCCTTGGCAAAGGGATTATTATCGATTTTCAGTTTGGTAATGCGATCATTCTGAAAGTAGAGAAAAAGAACGAAGAGAGGAAAGAAGCTATTAAAAAAATTGTGTTTGATTGAATGCTATCTTAATGTTGCAGTTTTAAGAAAAATTGCGAAATATAATAATTAATTCAAATTGGGTGGATTGCAGTATCCGACTACATCATTGCTACATAAAAATATAGGCCTAGATAAAGGGATACCGTTCATGAAAGACCCGAAGAAGGCTGTCTCTGTCTCTAGAAGGCCGAAAAATTGAAGTTCTGTAAAATCGTTTCAACAAAAGCAAAATTTCTAAAGGTCTTTAACCTGCAGAGGTCTTTAAAAGGACTTCTAAGAAAAGAAAATATTCCCGTTTAGCCTTTTTAGTAATCAAAATGCACAATTTGTTTGGTTTGACAATTTTTTAAAAAAAAAACTTCATACGTCGTACCAAATTTACAGATTTTCAATTCAATTATTTTTTTTTTGTTTTCGAAAAGAATAATAGGAAAATGTTTAGAAAAATCTTCAAAATATTTAATTTTGATGTTTATCAAGGACATTTTAGTAAAGACATTACACAATGGACCCACATCCAATTTTTCTGTTCAAAACTATTTCAACGTCTCCATATGTAAACCTTAGAAACATTTTCAAAAAATCTCTATATCTCAACCTCAGATACCAAGAGTCCCTTCAATATCAAATTTCAGGATTTCACCTCTTTAATTCCCCCCATTTCCAAATTTAGTACCATTTACTAAAATAGCGTTCATCACTATTTCTTCACCCAATGCCAAATTAGTACTCTTTAGTACTTTTCGGACAATTATGGCACATATTTCAAAAAACACCTCCATATCTTAATCCCAGATACCAACAGAGACTTCAATATCAAATTTCGGGATTTCATTCATATTCCTTCACCCAATATCCAATTTAGTACTATTTGGTACTTTTCGAATAATTTTAGTACTCATATATAAAATAAAATACTCAAATATATAAATAAATATAAAATTTTATTAAAACAGCCCTATCTCTTCGGCCAATATTAAATTTAGTACCAATTCGTACTTTTCGTACAAATACAGTACAAACAGATGTCATCAGTAATCTAAATATTAAATTTCAGAATTTTATCTCTAGCCCTTAAAGAGTTGCTTCGCTTGGACGAAAGTGGTGAACTGCAGAATTTGGTTTTATTCGATGAGAAAACATTCGTTGTCCAGCAACGATGAGAAAACAAAATAATCGTGTTTACTTGCCAAAGAGGTAAGCGGAAAATGTGCAACTTCGGTTGGCCACCAGAACTTGCTCTCCGCTCGTATTAATCGACAGTGGCATCAGAATAAATGCCGAATATTATCGCGAAAATATTCTGGAGAGTGTATTAAAGCTTTGGGCACGCAAACATCCGATGAGAAAGCATTCCTTGTCCAGCAGTTTGTAAACAAACAAAATGAGATCAGCTGAAAATGTGCACCTTCGGTTGCCCACCAAAACTCAAGCGCCGGCCATGGTGATGGTATGGGCCTCCATAACAGCCGATGGTCGCTCTCCGTTCGTATTAATTGACCGTGGCATCACGGTCGACCTGGAGGGTGTATTAAAGCCTCGGGCATGCAAACATTATGGCCGCAGACCTTGGACATTCCAACAGGACTCAGCACCATCGCACTCAACAAGCGCCACCCAAGAATGTTTACAAAATGTGGTTCCTCGCTTCATTTCCAGCGCACAATGGCCACCAAAATATCCGGATACCAATCCGTTGGACTATTGTATCTGGAGTATTTTGGAAAGCATGGTTCGCACTAAAAAATACCAAAGTGTCGATCACCAAGACACCTTCGCCGGGAATGGGTCAAAATACCGCGGAGCAACATTCGGGCAGCGTGTGATGGTTTCATTGGCCATTTGAAGGCCATAATTCGTGCCAAAGGTGACCAATTCGAAACCAACCAACTAATTCCCAAAAATAACTCATATAACAAATGTTAGAATTTTAGCTCCATACATTCCTATAATGTCAAGTGGTACCAAATTGGGTGCTCTTTAGTTATTTTAGTACACTTATAGTTAGAACTTCTAAAAAAACAAAATTTTGGTACGTCTATCCTAACTCAATCATTCAAATTTCAGAATTCCATCTGTGTGTCCAATTAAAAAGGACTACATTTTTAGTACCTTTTAGTACCGTCAGTACACTAATAGCTCAAATTTCCGATAACACAGCCTTATATCATCCCTACACACCAACATCGACTCACATGCAAAATGTCAAATTGACACTTCTGAAAAGGAGGAGAAATATGTAACAAATGCAGACTGTTTTTACATAAAACCCTTGGTATTGACGTCACCTTTCATATGAAGTTTGCAGAAATAAAATCGGTTCACACATCCCAGAGAACATCAATTACTAACACAATCTAATTTATTTTTATACCCTCCCCCTTACATTGTATAAGGACACATTAAGTTTGTCATTCCCTTTGTAACTCATCAAAACAATCATTTTAGACCCCTCAAAGATTTTGCATAGAGTTGTCTTTTGTCATCAGGCGTATCAAGTTCGAAGATGAGCTATATCGGTCACCGTTTTCGTATCGCCCCATTTAATTGTACCTTTCCCTATTCGGTATTTTGACGATTTTAGGCACATTTTCTAACTGAAGAATGTAAAATTCGGTACATAGAGTTTACAAAGGAATCTGCCGCCTGTTGCAGATCCCTGGATATTCGGCTGATGATTTTCGCCACATTTTCTAGCGGAATAGCTTAAAATTCAGTATTTAGAGTTCATAATATATTCAACCTACTATGGCGGAACATTGTCTATTTAGGGCCACGTTTTCCTAAAGCCCTCCATAAAATGGTACCAACAGATATTCAATGCTCTTTTGATTTTAGCCATATTTTAAGAGGGAATTGATTCAAATTTAACTTTTGTGATTCGCAAAACATACCGCCGCTGTGAAAGAAATCTGTCCATGTAGGTTCACGATTTGACATTTGCTGATATTCAGTATGAAATTACTTAAAATTCGAGATTTCGATTTCGTAAAGCGTTCCTCTCCCGAAGCAGAATAATTTCTACACATGTTAATGTTTTTCTATAGCCCCTATCCTCACAAAAATCGGTATTTTGTTAATTTTGGATACATTTTTTTAGAATTGATTGAAATGTGCATTGTATGTTTCCAATGACATAAGTGGCGATTGCCCTTGAATACTGGAATTTCGGCATATTCAGAAAGATTTTCTGAATGATGGAGGGCATAAAAAAGACGATCTTTCATAAAAGACTTTTAAAATCTTTTACATCCTTAGAATACGCATTGAAGGTTTCCTATCCACACCCCATGTGCTATGATCTCACATACAGAATACGAATATACCACTGTTCCATTTAGGATCTTCTATTGAAAAAGAGTAAAAAAACACCAGTCATCGTTGATCTTGGCTAATTAGACATCTCCGAGAGAGACAGAGAGAGCGAGAAGGAGAGAATGAAAAATAAAGAGTAACTAATCATCAGATTGATGGCGTCCCATTCAAATCATATTAGGAGGGCAGACGAGGGAATGCTTAAAACCAGCCATCAAAACACATAGATGGCCGACTAGACAGATATTTGACCAACTGACTGACTTACTGAATCGACTGGGTGGATGGATAGCTGAGAGAATTAAATTCCGCTTTGGAAACAAAAACACAGCAAGAGCTCAAATTATGCCACTCATTCTCAAGAGCTGGTGATTCATTGCTGAGATGTTTGTCGAAAGGAAATTGGAAATTGGCTGGCTGGCTGACTGATGGCCATTAACTAGGCATGTTTGCCACGACGACGACGACGACGATGATGACGATGACTAAGGACTTGCCATGACTAAGAACAATTTTGGCAATCACCACAAAATGCAACGACATGCACTTCCTCTTTGGGATGCTGTCGCTGCTGCTGTTTTCTTCGGCCTCGTCTAACTAGCCAGTCTAGTTCAGGCAACTAGGCTGTCTTCATGTGGGCAAAACAAAAAGGATGTGCGGGGCGTTACAGGCTAATTTGCTTGTTAAAGGCCCAACCGCTGTGCCTTTGTTTGCGTCTGTCGTCCATGAGTGACTGCGTCCCCTACCCCGTCTCCGACCCCGTGACTGGGTCGTTGTGAGTTTTTCTTTGGCAGTCTTGAACAAATTAAATAATTAACTAAATTTCAAGTGGTTTCTATGGTTTCTGCCCAAAAATTCAGGCAACAACACCCCCAATGGTTAGTTTGGTAGTGGAAAAGGACAAAGGATGCCAAAGTCAATTAATAATTCGCAATGGGCCAAACATGGCCGCATAGGACAGGGCCAGTCCCAGATGATTGAGACAATGTAAATATTGAATGAATGAGTTTGTTTGCCAAGGTTGAGTTTTGATTTTCATTCGTCGTTTTCTTCTTCAAGTGGTTGAGTGGGTGATTGATTGATGGAGGGATTGCGATTTTGGTGTTGGGATGGTGCTGTCTACGCCTCTTAATTAGTTTGTCATTAACAAATAGTCGGCAATTATGTCCTTAAAAATGTCTTAGGTTGAGTTTGTGGTGGCAAGGAGTTTTTTTATTTTTGGAAAATTTTCTAGTCTTTTTTTTAGGAAGAATTGCAATGTGAAACTAGGTTTTTTAATTATTACAGGTATTTTTAAATCCCGCACGGATAATTTAGAGCCATTAATCCTCTATTCAAAATAAACCCCTGAATACATTATAAACGTTACTCAATGGCATGTGGTACGCCATCCGTGTTATCCGGAAACGTATTGTTATCCACGATATCCAAAACTATATGAATCTCTATGAATCCTTCAATATATGAAGCCGAATAGAGAAATATCACAAACGTATGAAATTTTGAAAAACCTTGGTATTGGTGTCACCTTTCATATGAAGTTTGCAGAAACAAAATCGATTCACGCATTCCAGGGAACATCAATTTTTAACACAATGAAACTTTTTTATACCCTCTACCATAAATTGTATGTATGTAAGTTTGTAACATAGCGAAATAATCAATTTAGACCCGACCCCAAAATTTTGCATAGTGTTGTCATTTGTCTGCAGGCAGTTCAAGTTCGATGATGAACTATATCGGTCAACGTTTTTGTATAGGCCCATTTAATTGTACCTCCCCGTATTCGGTATTTTGACGATTTTATCCACACTTTCTAACGGAAGAGTTTAGAGTTTAGTATTTAGAGTATATAAAAGGTTCTATCTCCTGTGGCAGAATATTTTCTATATAAGTACTTCTTTTAGTATAGCACTCATATATTGGTACTGAAAAAGTATGAAACTTTTGCCACACAATCCAAGAACTTTTGGAGCCTTATTCAAGTTTTCGGAAAACATATGCAAAATTATCGGAGTTATCTATAATTAGTAGATATCTAATCTACATTGTCAGGGGACATAAAATTTTATTCAAATCTTGGGACACCTAAACCATCCAGAAATCTGTTTATATAAAGGTAAAAAAAGAAGTTTTTATTCCCTCCACCATTTGGAAAGTATGTCTGTAAATGCCGAAATTCCAATCGAGAGGTATGCGTCACTTCTGTCACTGGGAACATATAATCCAAATTTCAATCAATTCTAAAAAAATGTGGCCAAAAACCACAAAATACCAAATATTGGGAGGATAGAGTCTATCGAAAAACATTAACTTGTGCAGAACTTATTCTGGTACAGGAGTAGAACACTTTACGAAATCCATATACCGAATTTTGAGCATTTTCATTACGTCAAACTACCGAATATCAGGAAGTACCATTATATGGGTGCCATAACAAAACGTGATCCCACACAGACAGTTTTCTTCTACAGTGGCGGTGTGTTTTTTATGGGGGCTATAGGCAATCGTGGAGCTATATACGGACAATGTTCCGCCATAGGAAATTGACCATATTATGAACTCTAAATACGAAATTTCATACTATTCCGCTAGAAATGTGGCTAAAATCATCAGAATATCGAACATCGGGTGGTTCCGTTATATATGGGGCTCTAGGGGAACTTGGACTTGGATATTCTGCCACAGGAAATAGAATCCATTATAAACTCTAGATGCCGAGTTTTAAATTCTTCCCCTAAATAGTGTGGCTAAAATCGTCAAAATATCCAATACTGGGAGATATAATTATATTACTGCCTGAAGGCAAAAGAGAATTATATGCAAAATCTTTGTTGGGACTAAAATTATAGTTTTGATGAGTTACAAGCGGAATGACAAACTTAATTTACCCTCCATACAATGTATGGTGGAGAGTATGAAAATAAGTTTCATTGTGTTAGTAATTGATGTTCCCTGGAATATGTGAACCGATTTCGTTTCTGCAAACTTCATATGAAAGGTGACGTCAATGCCAAGGTTTCTACGTCCGTATGTGTGACATGTGTTACAACTATTTTGGTGAAACTGCATTCATTTCTGAAGCTTGAACGTGACATTTTTGCATGTGGGACGACGTTGATCCGTAGGGATGAGATGAGGCTGGGTTTGTGGAAATTTTAGCTTTAAGCTATACAAAAGGTACTAAGAGTTGGGTCCATTGTTTTAGACACACAGATACCGCTACAATTCTGAAATTTGGATGATGGGGATAGAATAGATGTACCACAATTATGTTTTTTTAAGGGATTCCAGCTATAAGTTACTAAATTTTGGTACGACTTGATATCACGGGAACATATAGAGGCAAAATCCTGACATTTGGTATATGAATCCTATTTAGAAAGTAGGGTTGATACAAGTAGACTGTTTCGGAAATATGTCCTAAGTATGAAAACTGTACCAGATAATACAAAATTTAGTTTTGGGTGAAGAAAAAGAGATGGAACAATGTTAGCATTGGGTTCACTGATGGTGGGTAAGTATTGGGATAATTTAGGAAAATTACTAAATGGCACTAAATTTGGTATTGGTTGAGTGCATAGTGCTTGAAATCTCATATTTATGGTTAGGGTCACTGTTAGTGTTTAGGTTTGAGATTTGTATGGGGTTGAGGTGGGATGTGGAAATACATACTGAGAAGTATGAAAAGTGCTAAATGTTATTAAATTTGATATTTTGGGAAGGAATTAAGCAAGAATTTTGAAATTTGGAATGAGGGACTATGATGGGATGTAGGATAGGTGTAAAGTAGGATGTAGATAGATGTATTAAATTTAGTACCATTTGGTATAATTTTAACGGATAGAGCGAAAATCTTGATATAAAAAATTAGTTTACCAAGTAGTTGTGATATGAGGTGGTTTCGGAAATGTGTACTAAATGTGAACACTGTACTAGATAGTACTAAATTTGGAATACATTTTTCTTTGGGTGAACTGATGACGACGGAAATCTGAATGTTAGCTTTGAGGTCATTACAGGTGGGTAGTGTTAAAATAAAGAGGGACTTTGGAAAAGAGCTAAATGGTACTTAATTTGGTGATGGGAGAACAGATAGTGCTTGAAATCTAAATTTTGACAATGGGATTACAAGTGCGAAAAATAATAAATGGTATCAAATTTGGTATAATTTTTTTTTAATTTGGTATTGGGCAAGAGATAGTGGTAGAATTCTAAAAGTCGGAATGAGGGTCGCTGATAGGGCGTAGGATTGGAATTTGATGAGAGAACCTAAAGTATCTTCTCTCACATCGGTTTTTTAAATGTATTACAATAAAAGTTTTTTATAACCTCAGACATATGGCTGAACCGAAATAACGGGTTTAGGCCCTATGTATCTTTGGACCACATCCGTTTCAGGATATTTCGAGTCGATTTAGCGATGTTCGTCCGTCTATCTGGCTGGCTGTTTCGCACGATAACTCTCGAAGGGAGTATGCGGTTTGGTCCAAACATGGGACATCGTAATATCATTATCAAACTTAGATCGAGTTCGAAGATGGACAATATCGGATATTGCGAAACAACTCAGCGATCCTTTACAATTTCCTATATCTAAATATTTCTCTCAACCACAAACCTGAGATGAATATGGAATGTATAATTTCGAAAAAATTGAATATAAAATTTCGATTTTCCTGTAACTTTGCCCATACCAATATTTTTATCCGTATTAAATGAAGTATGAAAATTAAATACTTCGGTCTACTATATCTGGTACCTCACACACACATTTCAACATTCAAAATCTAAAAATTATCACATATCTCATTTAAGGTGAAGGATGTAACCAATGTTGCCCAAATCTAACACGTCGCAAAATTTATATCATATTTATTTAGGTCCGATACAAAATGGGGAATATTGGCCCATTTCTTTGGAACCTACTCCAAAGAGGGTCAATAATTTGAATAATGTAACAGAAGTCAAAATATATTTAAATAATCGAACATAGGCTGGGGGTAGAGATCTGTCGGCAAAACTGACTGATACTTTTTAACTTGTTCTATTATTTTTAACATCCGCTAAAGACCTGGCTAACAGGCACATGCTAGTATAGTACATATGTCTTTATAGACTTTCTAAATTTCCCAAACTCTTTCCTCCATAGTGAAATCTCTTCGCATTTAATTCCAACTTACCTGATAGGCTGTGACTGCCACAAATTCCGTTTCCGGAAATACAAAGGCCTGCTGTGGCGCCCACGGTATTTGAGCCAAATCCGAGGTGCGTATAACATGGATACGAGGTTGATATTTATGCATGCTGGCCAAAACAATCTAACAAACAAAATATAAAAAAATGCAATAATTCATTAAAAAAAAACATAACATCTGACTGTCTCGCTGCTCGCTCGTGGCTCGCCCACTACTTACTTGACCGCTGTTGTCCAAAGTGTTGTTCGTCAATTTCACTTTATTGAATAGAATCGGTTGGGCCTGCCAATGGGAACCGGTGGCCGGGCTATCCGGATGCAAGTACATGCGTTGTGGCGACTGTGGCTCAGCACCGCCAGCTGGCACCCACTGTGAACCGGAGAATTTATAGCGGCAATCGCCAATTGGTACCATCTCCAGGAGAACACAATAATTGGTGTCATCATCCAGGCCGGACAAAGACAAACGCATGGATGGGAACATACGTCTGTAAGGACGAAGAAAAAAAACACAATAACATAAATAAGAATTCTACAGAATAATAATACTAACAATAACAACAAATAATGTGATGGTGGTAATGATGATTTCGATCATTAAGGACACAACGGAGGGCTGTTACCGCACATTTTCTAGATAACCAAGCATTTTATTTGTTTTATTCACAGCCTATTTATCCCCTGGAAAACAAATGTTCCGAACAATGAAATGGAAAATAATATCACATTGCCTGGCCTCATCCCCCCCTCCTCTCCTGTTTTGATATTGAATGATAACGAACAAAAGACGAACGAGCTGTTGACTGATGGCAAGTGGGCGTTTCAAATATTTAATTGTGCGTTTTCCAGCGTTCATTTGTAAAACGTTTGCGCATGCGTCCAAGCCACTTCTCGTTTTTCTTTTGTCTTACATGGAAGCGTAGGCGATTTGGTGTGTAATTATTGTTCGGTCTTGTTTTTTTTTATTTACAGCAGAAGGAACTGTTCCAAACTCAAATAAACATTTAGGCGCACTTTGTTATTTCTAACAAGAAAACAAAAAAAAAAAAAAGCAAAATAATCGATAAATAGAGGAATGGAAGCAAATGTTTTGTAAAAAGTGTATGTTGCCTGTTTGTTGTGTACTAAAAACATTGAATAATGCTCCAAACTCCACCTTTGGAGAAATATCGAAAGGAGACTACTATTTATACGAGGAATCACAGAAGCTGATGCTTTGAAAATTTGTACTAAATGCTGTTGGCGTTGGAGCCAAGAATCTAAAAGTTTATGTTAAGCTTTGCTTGAGGAAGCCATAGGTGGGGCTAGGGCCGGAATAGAAGCTTATTGCTTTTGGAGATTATCGCATAATATTTAGGTGTTAAATAGACTAAAAACTGAAAAATTTCCTGATTTTGCAGTTGCTCTACAGGTCGCAATTATAGACCAATCGATACGGCTTGAGTTTAGGGCTGGGCAGAAGCCTTCCAATTTGGTCATGGTCATCGGGTAATATTTGGTGGGTGAAATAGACCATAACATTAGTGTTAAATAAAAGTAAAATTTTCCATAAACCGCGAAAATTTTTAATCCCGGCGAAATCACAATTAGACGAACAGGTCAATTCTGACCGTAACGTAGATGCCGATAGTAAATATATCGGTTATATATAGCGAAATATATACAATGTGTATATACAAAGGAAGGGGATGTTAGCTAAAATGCTTATATCTCAAGAATGGCTGGACCGATTTTCACAAATTTTGTCAATTCAGAATGCCCTCTTGGCATAGAAGAATAAAATCTAAGAAAATAGCATAAAAAGATGCCAATAATGATGTTTATATAGATTTTGTAGCATTTTGTGACATTTTTTTCATATTTTTTATCGCATGCGATTTTTTCAATTTGACTTAATATTGAAGTGTATATTTTGTAATACTTTTTCACCTTACAACACAGGTTGGGATTATTATATACAGATTGCAATTATCGTCCGATCCTTACGAAAATTTTCACAAGGGTAGGGTTAGGTTCAGAAAGGCTAGGCCTATTGTTTTCAAAGATGTTCGCAATATATTTAGAGGTTGAAATGAACCAAAAACAGACAACATTTCCTGATCACACAATTGAAGCCTATCGACACCCCTGAGAAGAGAGTTAAGGACAGGGAAGAAGTCTAGCATTTTGGATGACCATTGGATTATATTTAGTTGTAAATGGACCACAACAACTAGCATATCTGGGCACTGCTCCGTGACATAATTTCAAAAGCGAAATATTCCAAAATGGATTTGAACATGAGGGGGCTTTTAACATATTGTAGTGTTGTAGGGTATCACATGGTCGGCCCCGCACGACTATAGCCTTTGCTTACTTGTTTTTAAATGTTATTGAATGAAAACAAAACATGTCGGAAATAGCATCAAATTTTAGAATAAGTTTAGGTTTGTTCGAATTGGTCACCTTTGACACGAATTATGGCCTTCAAAGGCCAATGAACGCTGCCCGAATGTTGTTCTGCGGAATTTTGGCCCATTCCGGGCGAAGCGCTTGTTTGAGGTGGTCGACACTTTGATATTTTTCAGTTCCAACTCTGCTATCCAAAATACTGCAGACACAATAGTCCAACGGATTGATATCCGGAGATTTTGGTGGCCATAGATGACCATAAGGTCTTCTTCCATAGATGACCATAAGGTTTCTCCCATAGATGACCATAAGGTCTTCTTCCATAGATGACCATAAGGTCTGCTTCCATAGATGACCATAAGGTCTTCTTCCATAGATGACCATAAGGTCTTCTTCCATAGATGACCATAAGGTCTTCTTCTATAGAAGACCATGAGGTCTTCTTCAATAGAATACCATAAGGCCTTCTTCAATAGAAGACCATAAGGTCTTCTTCTATAGAAGACCATAAGGTCTTCTTCTATAGAAGACCATAAGGTCTTCTTCTATAGAAGACCATAAGGTCTTCTTCTATAGAAGACCATAAGGTCTTCTTCTATAGAAGACCATAAGGTCTTCTTCTATAGAAGACCATAAGGTCTTCTTCTATAGAAGACCATAAGGTCTTCTTCTATAGAAGACCATAAGGTCTTCTTCTATAGAAGATCATGAGGTCCTCTTCCACAGAAGACCATAAGGTCCTCTTCCATAGAAGACCATAAGGTCCTCTTCCATAGAAGACCATAAGGTCCTCTTCCATAGAAGACCATAAGGTCTTCTTCTATAGAAGACCATAAGGTCTTCTTCTATAGAAGACCATGAGGTTTTCTGCACAAAAAGACGAGGAACCTCATTTTGTAACCACTCTTGGTTGGCGCGTGCTGAGTGCGATGTTGCTAACTCCTTTTGTAATGTCCAAGGTCTGCGGCCGAAATGTTTGAGTGCTCTCCAGAATATTTTCGCGATAATATTCGGTACTTATTCTGATGCCACGGCCGATTAATACGAGCGGAGAGCGACCATCGGCTGTTATGGCGGCCCACACCACCACCAACTGGTGGCCAACAAAAGGTGCACATGTCAGCTGACCTCTTTGGCAAGTAAACACGATCATTTTGTTTGTTTACAAACTGCTGGACAACGAATGTTTTCTCATCGGAGAAACCCAAATTCGACAGTTCACCACTTTCGGCGAAGCGAAGCAACTCTTTTGAGTATATTTTCTTTCTGTTGCGGTGTAAGTTCTTGCACTTTTTGGAATTGCAATGGCTTTACCCCGAGCTCATTTTTCAATATTTGCCGAATGGAATATTGCGATATGTTCAGCACATGAGCCATTTTTCGGCCACTGCGACGCGGGTTTCCATCAAGTCGAAATTATAGCAGTCTGAAGTTGGTTGCAGTTTTTTCATCTCACCCAGCATATGTAAATTTGTATTAAGAGTAGTAAATAGTACTAAATATTATTATGATCCAAAAATGTGTTTTTGGAGAGAAACTTCTGCAGTTTTAGAGCCAGAATCATAGCATTTGGCATTATTATTGGCAAAAAAAAAAACAGTAACATTCCGAAATTTTTGGAATTCGATGATTTTTTATACCCTCCACCATGAAAATGAGGATGTTTGACCCCAGGACGAACCCTATTGAAATTGGTGAGAATCGGTTGAAAGTTAGATATAGCTCCTATATATATCTTTAACCGATTTCGGATTAATTGACCTGAATGACCTGAATTTTGGCACATCCGACCGAATTCAGTCTAGAAGCAATTACATCAAATTTGGTGAAAATGTGTTTACACATACAGCCCAGAAATACGTCTGCCAAATTTTATTAAGGTTCGTTCAGATTTGAATATTGCTCCCAAATGGTCAATATCAGTCCAAATGACCCGAATTTTGGCACAACCGACACATCTAGAAGCAAGTACATAAAATTTGAAGAAAATCGGTTCAGATATAGCTATAGCGCTCATATATATGTTCCATTCGATTTGGTGTTTAAGTTCCCTCCTTGTTTGAAGATGTAAATGATCTTTGGCTTTGAAAATTTACTTTAGCATGACTCTTGGGGAGAGGTAAGAAGGGATTTTCGGAAATTCCTACTTCAAGGTTTCCAGCGTTGTGGAATCAAGAATGTAATCTTCGGCGATATATATCTTTGTTTAACAAGTTAAGAACTATCAGTCGGTTTTGTCGACAGATGCATACCCTCAACCAATTTATGTTTATTTTGCCTCTTTATGGGAGAGGTTCCGAAAGGGTTGGCAAATATTGTCCACTTCGTATCTGACCTGAGTCTGAAAAAAATATTGCAAGATGTCGGATTTGACCTATATCGACTACTTCCTATACTTAATATGAGATATGCGATGATTTCTGAAAAATGTTCAAAAAAAAAAAACTGATAAAAATATTTAAATTTGCAAGAGTGGACCACAGAAATATCTATTAGTTCTATGTTCGCTGACTTGTTTCGTATATTTATTCAAAATGGTGACCCCCTGTGAGGGGGTAATGGAAGGACTGGGCCTGGGAGAAATATAAACCAAATTTGAAAACATTCGCTAAGCTCTTGCGCATGTTATGAGAGGTATAATTATTGAGAATTTTGACTCTTTGTGGAGAAGGCACCAGAAGGCGTGAACCGATATTTACTGTCTTCTCAACAGATCTTGTGCTGAGAGAAATATTATTAACTTCATGGATATTGCAAATTTTGACCCGCTGTGTGGGAGGTGCCAGAAGGAGTGGTCCTATATATATGCCATCTTCGAGAGTTATCGTGCGCACAAGCCAGACAGACGGATGGACACACCTAGATCAACTCCAAATGTTCTGAAACTGATTTTGTTCCAACAGACCCGTTATTCGATTAGACACGTTTTGGCCGTATCAAGTGATATATATCCTCTGCAGCCATATGGGTGAGAGTATAAAAATTCCTTGTTTATGCACAAATCATAGATGGGAACCTGTTTCTAATGGAGTAAAATTTAGGTAGATAATTTACAGAAAATACAAAGCCGGGTATTACGAGTAGAGATAAGCAGTCG